TCTGGCCTCCAGACATATCTGTTTATGGACCCCAGGTCACAGTCTGCTGAGATCTGTGTTATAGCCTTACATGCTGGTAATGAGAATTTTAAATTCTTCCCTGACTTGAATGCTGAGATCAGAGAGTGATGGGGAGACAGTGCCTGGATTCTTTCCAGCTGTTTGATTCCAGAGGTGTGGACTTCATGGAGCCAGCTAGACCTCATGCAAACAGGCGGTGCACTGTATGGCTGCAGTCTCCCTTCCCAGGCCTGCGAGTGTGCAGAATGACCTCTGACTCACAGGAAAAAGGAGGGATTAGCAACCGTGCACGTAGAAGGCCAGCAACATTGAAGCTCAGCCCACAGCTGCACTGGTTGGTAGCTGCCCTACTGTTCTCAGAGGTCAAAAAGAGGCACAGGGAGCTGAGGCCAAGACCATAGGTCTACACCAGGTCTGCACCAAACTCGGGGTCTACCTGGACCAGGCAGATAATGCAAATGATGGGAATCAGGCCCCAGGAGGACTGGGGTGCACAGAAGAGCACTAGCTCCACACCAAGAGCTGCCGACCCCAGCCCCAGCCCCCACCCCTGCTGCCCAGGCCTCTAGTCTGTCCAGAGAAGCAGGAAGCCCAGAGCTTTACAGGACCTGATATTTTAAATATGCCAACTCATTCGAACTTTTTTTGTATGGTGCTGGGGATGAACCTAGGGCCTCATGCATGCTAGGCAAGAGCTCTACCACCAAGCTACACCCCAGACCCTTGTTCAAATTTTAATTTTTTTTTTTTTTTTTTTTTAGTTACTGCACTGGCCAAAGAAACACTGCTGTTGACATGAACGGCCCCAGCCCTGACCACAGGTCATGTGGCTTCCATTTTCCAGATAATTGCTTAGGCCTCTGCTTCCTCGTAGCAAGAGGCTCATGGGTTGAAATGCACCCCTAACAAATTGCTGTGGATTGGGAACCAAAGTGGCTAACTGGAAAGGAAGTAATTGCACAATTCCAAATTCAGGTTTGAGTCTCGTCAGGCACGGAGAGGCGGAGAGGGTGGGAGGTGGCGGTAAAGATGGGCACCCTCCCCGACATTCATCTCACGGCAGGAGGATCTTATGGGGGGCCGGGGCTGGCGGGGGCCGGCGCCTGACTCCCCGTGTGGTCCGGGCTCTCTGCCGCTCCGCGTCCCCAGCTCAGAGTGAGTTTGGTGCATCGAGTCAGACTTTAACGCACCGTAGTCGTGAGTAAACAGTGCTCATTTGTTTCTTTATTTATTTATTGGACCAGATCGGCCTGGCAATTCCTCGGCAGTCTAGTGTAATCGGATTTGGTTTTTAACATGCTTTTAAAGTAAAGGAATAAATACAACTGAGCCTTGTAAAAGGGGGTCGTTAGAGAAGGGGCCTCGGCCCGTAACTCTGAAGTAATAGCCCCATTATGGAGACGGGAGGCCAGTTTCAGCTGCCCCTGTGCCTTTCCGTGGGGAGGTTGAGGGTTTGCCAGACAGGTTGGGCGTCTCAGTAAAAGCTTTTCCGGCAGCCATTTAACCTCCATTTACGGAGAAATAAAGCAAAATTGATGCTGATTCGGGCCTGCTTGGGGGGATATTTCCCTTCCATAAAAGCCCTTGTGCCTGCAATTTGCCGAGCTGCCCTGTCACACGGGGAAAGGCTGCTGTTGATAAAGATAAAGCTTTATGGCCACCATGTTTGCTGCTAACAGCAACCTAATGTAGCATTTTCATTTCTGTGCAATTAATGTTAATGTCTGCTACGAAAATTGTCATTAAATACCATTTTAAAATCCATTCAATTTGCATATGCAAAGCCCATTTACCATCACAGAAGATGTAGCGGGCACTTCATCACGTCCTTGCCCTGGAATTGTGGCCACTTGGCTTTATAGCAATTTAAGATTTTATATTGAAAGCTGGATGATAATGGGGGTCCTCTCCAGGCCCAGCCGACTGGAGCAATGACAAAGGGAAACCGAAGCCCAGGAGGAGCCGCTGGGCGTTTGCGGAGATCTTCGAATGAACTAGAGGCAGGGCCCAGAGGAAAGAGCGCTGGACAGGGTGTCCAGCAGCCTGGACCCGGACAGCTCAGCTAACACCCTGCTGTGCGACCTCAGGAGGCCCCCCCTGGCTCTCAACTTTCCTCTGCTGAGGGCTCCCGGCCAGCGATCCTGATGTCCCCGAGCTCTACTTTTAAACGTTTTAGAAATATAAGTGCGATGAGCGGGCGTGCCCTGGAGCCACTGACTTGGGGATTACCTCCAGGGTGGGGAAGGACAATGACAACAGCCCATCCAGCCCAGAAGTGACTTTCCATGTCCCCAACGTCACATTCCAAGTTCTAAGGGCACGTTTTCTGGTGAGAGCTGAGCTGCACACGGAGGCCACGGGCGAAGGAAAAGCTGGCAAAGCCAGGGTGTGGACTGACCCTGAGGGACCAGAGGGCCTCCACCTGCCTGGAACGCAGCAGGCCTGTTCTTAGAACTGGCCCAGAGTCACCCAGTGGCCCAGCAGGGTGACTGTTCAAGATCCCAGAACAGGTGTCTGCACGCCCCGTTCACAGCAGCACTAGGCACCACCAGAGGAGGTGGGGACAGCACTCAGCCAAGACAGGTGGAGGAAGACAGCAGAGCAGACAGGCGCCGGAGACCCGAGGGCGACGCGGTGTGACCCATCCACAGGAGGGACCTCGAATCCTCCAGTTCCCGGAAACAGGAAGTGGAGCGCGAGGAGGGGGCGGGGCGTCACTGTTGAGTGGTGCAGAAGGTTCTGGGGACAGTGAGGGCGCAGGGCTGCAGGGCAGGCGAGTGTGCGGAGTCCTCCTGCACCGCGCAGGAAACGGCTAAAGGGGCGGCTCCTCCAGATAATTCTACCTCCGTAAAAATGGAACAGAACGTGGAGACGCCACCAAAAGAGAGACAGTCGTCCCGGGAAGCCAGGAAGGGAGGCTGGAAGGCGGCTGGGGTTGGAGAGTCGGTGGCCTCGGGTGGCAGAGCAGGGCCGCCCACAGGTGGGCTGGGACGTTGGCCCTGGGGCCTGCCAGCTGGACCGGCCGGGGCAGTGGGGCCTGGGGCAGCTGCTGTGGTGGGGAGCAGGCTTTTCTACTTCTCTGTCCAGAGCGGTGCTAGGATGCCAGTGACCTTTGTAGGTTCCTGTCGTGATAGAGAAGGGGCTGGCGAGCCCCTCTGAGTGAACCGCTGCTTCAGCGGCCCAGCGAGCTCCCCACTTTGGGAACAGAAGGCAGTCTACACCGTTTCCACCACTGGCCCCAGTGCACCGTGTGGACTCCTCTGTCGGCCTCCAGGGAGGGCAGTGATCAGGCCTGGCCCACCAGGGCATCCGATTTCCCTGGCCTCAGCCATTGGCTCAAGGCTGACATGTGACCCAGGCTGGCTAGCCACAGCCAGCAGTCAGTTCAAGGACAGGCCTGTGACCTACTGGACCAAAAAGTGTTGGTCATCAGCCTTGTATAGTTCCCTAGACCCTCCCCACTAAGAGAATAAGATGTAAAATGGAATAGCCACTGCCCACTTTGTCAGGCAAGGAAGAAGCCCTCAGGGAATGGACCAAGCCCTGGACCACAGCCATGACTTGGAGAGACAGGCCATCTGCTGATGACATCACCTGACTGCCTGGATCCAGCTATACCTGAAGCTCTGTCCTATCCCAGGCCTTTCGACCTCATGAGCCAATACATTCCCTGAACAATAGTCAAGGCAGTTCAAGTTGAGTTTTGATCACATACGACCACTTTCTACTTTTACAGCATGTCATGGGAAGTGAGCCACCTGTCTACCTCTGAGGCCACCACTGTGACCAGGGCTTGAAAGTACATGGACTGGCCAGGCCTGGGTCACACCAATCACTGGGTCAGGGGAACCTGATGCCCTGATAGGCCAGGCCTGATCACATGCCCCTCCCTGAACTCAAGGCGACATGGGTTCCCACGATGTGGGATGTGGAGGCGGGTTCCCTGTGCAGACAGAGGAGTCTGGTGCCAGGCAGGCCAAATCAGCAAATAGGGCCAAGTCCCCAGCCGTTGCCCTCCTCTGCCTGGGGAGTGGCGCAGCTCAGGCTGTGCACCAGAGGGTGACTGGACAGTGTTCGAGGTGACCGGGGAGGGGCTGTTCTGCCAGGAGGGCAGGCGGGTAAGAACGGGAGGGCACAGGGCTCTCCAACCCCTTGCTGTTGTTACCATCTCCCTGCCCGTTTCCTTGTGGACAGTGGGTCCTCAGGCACTAAGCAGCCAGCCTAAGGCCCAGGCTGGTCGAGTCTCTGCTGCAAAGCTCAGAGCATTGACGTTAGCGGGGACACGCCAGAGCACACAGGGACACGCGCCTGATCTATGGTGACCACAGGGCCTGAGAGCAGCGCTTTCCCAGACGATTCTCCACTCTGAGTGGCTGGTGCTGAGCATTTCCATCCATAAAACGCACGGAGCCGAGCCCTGGGCGATTCGTGCCCTTTTCTATGTGTAAGTCAGACTTCAATTCGATTTTTAAGAACATCATGACTCCCAGGTCTGCAGTCGCCATTTTAACCATGACAGTAGCTGACGTCTGTGGAGTGCTCACCAAGTCCTGGCACTGAGCTGAGGTGAGGGCAGAGAGCTTTACGCCCCCAAAGCCCCGTAGCAACACCAGGCACCTACTGTTGTCCTCCTGTCCTACAGGTGTGGGACAGGGAGGACAGGTGCCCGCGGCTAGTCACAGGCAGATTCCTGGTTTGAGCCAGTGCCTGGCCCCCTGGGCTGTGCTGGGGTACAGGGCACCAGCCTGCTCCTGCCCTCCCCACGTCACCACCCCTGGGGCAGAGAAAGGTCTTGACGCACACCTGTGTCTGGGCGGCGGTGGGTGGCCTGTGCACAGCCCGTCAGCACAGCCCCCTGTGAGGCCCCTGGAGTCGCGGAGCCGGGCTTTGGAGAGAGGAGGAGCCTGAGAACCACGTTTGCTCCCTGCCTGGCCAGCCCCCACCTTGCCCTCCCATCCGCCCCCGGCCAGCCTCCGTACCGTGCCTGGATGCCGTAGGTCATGTCTGGGGGCAGGGAGGGTGCGTCCTTCTTGGTCCGCCGGTCGTCCTTGTCGCTGATGCGGATGTCCTTGAGCTGCCGGTACAGGATGTTCTCCCGGGCGGTCACCAGGCCAGCCTTCACTGCCCCGCGGTTCATGGCGATATAGTTCCGGGTTAGCTCTTGGGGGCAGGTGGGCTGCTGCTTAAACACGTCCCAGTGCCCTAAGGCTGAAGGGGGACAGAACACAGGGCAGTGGTCAGCTGGGGTAAGTCACTCAGGGCCCAGGACTGAGAGGAGACAGGCCCCTGTCCCAGCAAACCTGCTGGGTGACAGCCCCAAAGGGCAGGAGCGGCACCCCCAGGGATTCCAGAGGGCGCCTGGCGTCCTGAGGAGGTGGCTCTCCTGCTCCTGGACCTCGGCGGGGCCCTCAAGACGTCCGTCACTGCCTGAGCAGCTCAGAGCAAGGCAGCCTTCCCTGGGCCCTCGTTCCTGCCCTGGCTCAGACCTGGACCCTGCTTGGTCCACTCCGTCTCGGCCACACTTGTCTTCCCAGGCTTGTGTCCCCGCCAGAATTGTCCTTCAGAGGAGGCCCCTCGGGTCTTCTCCGGCCCCCGGCCAGCTGCCAGGCGGCCGGCCTGGGTGGAGAGTCCAGGGAGGGGGGTGGGCCTCCCGCTACTCCCCAGGCCCCGGTGCTCCAGGCACAGCCCCTCACCTTCGGGGACCCCTCCGTCCAGCCCCCGGATGTAGAGTCCGTAATTGAAGTCAATGCCAGGCAGGCTGCAGCTTCTCTCCCGGGGCCTGCCGAGTTCAGCCTGTGGGAGAGAGAGCAGCGTGAGGGGCGGAGGCGGCCAGCCCTGTGCCCAGCCTCCAGGGCCCCGAGGTGGGCCGCCCAGGCCTCCCGAGAGGAGCCAAGCTGGGGCTGGGGACGCGGGCACCACACTGCACGGCCTGCTGGTGCCGAGAGCCGGGCAGCAGGGACGCAGCCCATCCCCGGGCGGGGAAGGAGGGCGTCACGGGAGGCCAGAGCTGGGCAAGCAGCCATGCCGGGCGGAGCCTGGGCCTACCCCACTGTGTCTGGAGACCCGGGACCTGGGTCAAGGGGACCGGCTGGAGGCCACCAGGGGAGGGTGTCCTTCCTAGTTAACACTTCCTTCCTGCCGGGGCGGCTCAAGCCATTGTCGTGTCCCACAGGGCTGGGGACACAGTGACAGCGCCCACTGCGACCCCCTTGGCACCTGGGCAGCTCTTTCTACCCTCTGGGTCTCTGGGTCTCTGGAAAGCGCCTCCTTGACCCCCAGAAGGGGTTGGTACAGAGGAGATTGGTGCAACTTCAGCCACATTGGTTTCCCCGTTGTACAGACAAGGAACAGACCCAGAGGGCCGGGCCTTTGCCCACCCAGGATGCCTTTAGGGCAGCGGCTCCCCGGGTCAGAGCCCTGCCCAGGCCCTGAGCATCGGCCTTGGTCATCCCTGGGCCCCAGACACCGAGCTGTGCCGGTCCCTCCTACGCCTTCCCCGGGTGCCGCCCGTTTCCTCCCCACTCACTCTATGACAGGGACCCTGAGGTCACATCAGGCCGGGCAGCGGATGTGGCGAGTGGGGCTGGAACCCGGCTGTCTTCCACTCAGATCCACGGGCTGATCAGTACCAGCCCCAGGTTCACACGGCTCCCTGGTGCCGTCGGCCTATGGACAAAGGGTGGGGGCAGCAGCAGCCCCGGTGCCCCAGGCCCACAGGCCGAGGACTGGCAGTCCTGGGTGTGGTCTCCCAGCACCTCCCCGCTCCAGCGCCCCTGGAGGTCCAGAGGGTGTGGCCGGCTTGGCCTCGCACTACCCCTGGCACCTCATCTGTGCAGGTAGGTGCGTGGAGGGGGACACTGGTTGGGGACCTCGGCCAAGGGCCGTGGATACCTTTGGAATGAACCCCCTCCCTCGGGCTGGCCGCCCAGGCCCTGCCAGATGAGCCCACTGCCTGACATCCAGAGACCCCGGAGCCCAGCAGTCGATGCCTCCACCCGGCTTCCTGGAATGCGCTGGCTCTGCCCACCCCCTCCGCAGGCCCTGCCTCTGCCCAGGACTCCCTGACCCCACCCACGCTCAGCTCAGCGCTCAGGGATTCTGTCCTGTGTGACTGCGACTGAGACATCGAGTGACTGTGTCCGTTCCCGTGAGTGCACCTGCCGGGCCACCGCACTTGGGCCCTAAATGCCCACACAGCCCGAGCCACGGCTTCCACTGCCGTCTTTTTCCTGGTGGCACACGGCAGAGCCCTCTCTACTTTCCATGGTGACGACTGCAGTGTCCGAGGGTCGTGGCAGCTTGAGGTGGGGAGGACACACACGGGGCGCAGCCTGTGTGGCTCCAGGTATGTGAGGTGCCCTAGAGGCAAAGCCACAGAGGCAGAGGGAGGTTCGCTGGTGGAGGCTGGGGAGGCCAGGAGGGCAGGCGGGAGAACTGGGTGAGGGGCCAGCGGGCGGAGATGGCCGAAGGCTGTTTTGTGGGAGACATGAGAATGCTCCTAAGTTGTGGTGGCGGAAGCACAGCTCTGAAGGTGCCGAGAGCCGTGACTTGTCCACTCTGAATGGTGAGCGCGTGGCCTGTGAGTTCCGCCTCGAATGAGGCCCCGGAAAACCACAGAGCAGCGTCCTGCCCGGTATTGCCCAGAGAGCAGCGTCGTGTCTGTCTCCCGGAGGAGAGTGTCCCAGGGCAGGGGCCAGTCCTTAGTTATTTGTTAAAGTTAACTTAAACTTTGTGTATTTTATATTTTAGAGCAGGTTAATTTAATTCACAGCAAAATTAAGCGGAAGGTACAGAGACTTCAAATACACCCCGTCTGGCTTCCCCAGGGCCCGGCACCGAGGGGATGCTCATCCACGGCGGCACGGCGACCGAGGGCTGGGCCGGTGGCGGGTGGGAGAAACGCCTGCCATAGTCCCGGCCGCGGCAGAGCAGCCTCATCTGTTCCTGAGGGCTCTGCGGGCTGGAAGTCCAAGGTCTGGCCTCTGGAGGAGGCCTGCTTCCCAGTGATCAGGTGGCGCCTTCTTGTGCATTCTCCTGGAGCCGAGGGAGCGAGCCCGTCCCTTCCTGCGGGGACCATGGTCCATCATCTGCAGTTCCTGGCCTGACCCCTCCCTCCCCTCCCATGGGGACTCGACCCCCAGGAGTGAGCAGCCGCGGAGCCTCCTCGGGTTCCTCCTCGCCCTCCCCTCCTCCACCTCAATCCCAGGCCCAGCCTTTCTGGGGTCCGAGTTCTGAGTCAGGGGGCGCAGGGACTTTGTTTTGAGTTCCTTCCGCTGGCCTCACCCCTCGGGCTGCAAACAAAGCTCTGGCCTCTTATTTGTTTACGAAAATGATCCAGCCTCTCCAGCGACGGCTGGGGAAGTTAATTAAAATGCGACTTCTCCAGGAGAGGCCCCGCCTCCCCGGGGCAGGTGCAGGTGGGCAGACTTCCAGCTGGCAGAGGACCGACAGACAGACTCCGGAGCTGGCTGCCACCCTCCAGTGGGTGGGGGCTGGGGAACAGGAGGCGCCGCCATCTCTGTGCTTTTTAGCATGGTTGCCTGGGCTCGACAACTGTGGAAGGCTTAGGCTGCAAAAAACATCCCAACCAAAGTTTGCTCTTGCAGTCTTCCCACAAATGTTTTTTTTTTTTTAACCTCTTGTGAACCAGGCCCTGTGCTGAGAGTTCCAAGGTGAACAGAACAGATGCACAGCCCCTGCTGTTAACGAAACCCACTGTCTTGCAGGAAGGACAAGTAATGGCAGTCAAGTGCACCAGCAGGTGTAGTTGAGGAAAGCACAGAGTGTCCCCTCCACATGTTAAAAATCTCAGTGTACAAAAAGTGAGAGAAGACATCTGCAATCTATGTACCCAACAAAAGACTTGTATCTGTCACAAATAAAGAGCAACTACCAATCAACAAGAAAAGGGTGAACACTCCTACAGAAAAATGAGCAAGACTTGAATAGGCACGTCATTCAAAGGATGCCCAAGTGTCCAAGACCCATATGTCAAGGTGCTCAACTTCTGGGAAACGCAAAGTAAAAAGGTCAATGCTGCTGGTGAGGATTTGGAGCAATCAAGAACACTTGTGATCTTGCCGGGACTGTCGACTGTCACAACCACCGAGGAAAATTGCTAGTGTATCCATTGAAGCTACACACGTCTGTCCTATAGTCCAACACTGCCCTCCTGGGCACCCAATAGAAACGAGCAACTGTGCCCACCCAACAAACACGTCCACGGTGAACAGCTGGACTGATGGCCAAGTGCTGGACACACCCAGAATGGCCCTCGCAGTGGAAGGTATCTGGTGTGCTCAGGCCACAGAAGGTAATGCACTGGTGGTCCTGGGCCATGCCTGCATACTGTGAGTGTCCCAGCTTGAGAGGAGCCTGGCCTGTACCGAGTGTGTGGAGGCCAGGACTCTCTCAACGCCCTGTGCACCTGACGGCCCTCCCATGACAGGCAGGCGTGGCCCAGTGCCCCGGAGGCTGGCGGAGGCCGAGGAACCCGGGAGTGAAGCCAGAGCCAGAGTCCTGCACGGGTCCTTGCTCAGCGTGGGAGGAAGGAGCCAGGACGCGCCCCGCTGCTCCTCGCAGACCAGCCTCTGGTGTCTGGGGTCGGCAGGGGTCCCCGGGTAGGGGTAGAGACGGGGAGCTGCCAGGAGTCGGAGGGTGCAGGTCACCATGTTCCTCCACCTGGTGTCTTCACCCCAGGCCATCCTGCCCGTGGCCCTGTCCCCAGGCCACCCATCCGTGGCCTGGCCACGTGGTCCTTCCCCTCAGGTGTGTGGCCCGAGCAGCAGGCTCCCCGGTCCACACAGGAGACGCGGCTTCACGCAAGGGCTGCGGGGGAAAGAGAAGCGGGGACAGCCCCGGGTTCCACTGGGCCCGGTGCCGTGTCCCAGAGTCCCTGAGAACGCAAGGGGCCTTCCCGAGTCCTCAGACTGTCACCGTGGGACCAGCTGAAACTTCCGAGAACCAAGCTGAGAAGCAGAGGGGGGCCATTCGGAGGCACCCCCGGTTCCTCAGCCTCCTGCCCTGGCAATGACCCGCTCCCTCCTCCGCGGGTCGCACCAAAGTGCCCGCTGGCAGGAAACCCCAGCGGTCCCTGGCTGTCCCCGGCTGTCCCCGGCCCAGGCAGAGGACACCTGTGGGCCTCGTGGAGCTGTTGGAGTCCCTGTCACCTCCTCTCTTCCACCTGTCCCCAGACGCCTCCCACACCTGAAATCCCATGGGAGCTTTAGTCCCTGAGGAGTGCGTGTCTCCGTGTCCCTAGAGGAGCCGAGAGGCACAGCAGGTTCCCCACCCCAATCATCTGCCCAGCAAGGTGGCCCAACTGGACAGCCCCATGGGCCTCATGCTCCGAGGCAGTGCCACCCACCACTGCACCTGGGGGGTGACGTCCCTGGCCAGGCCCACCCACTCCTGCCAGTGCTCACCACGATCCTGCCAAGGGGCGTCCTGCCAGCCCCATTTCCTGGGCGAGGAAATGGAGGCCAGAGAGCTCTCAAGCTTGTCTGTCCAAAGCTACGTACGGAGTGCCCAAGGCAGGATTCGAACACATGCCACCCTCCTGCTCCTGGCTGCCCCATCAGTGAGCGAGTGTTCAGCATCGACAGCATGGGACCATTCACTGACTCTCCTGGGCCCAGAGCCACTCCCTGCAAGGGGGGTTCTGCCCCCACAGGACGGCAGGGCTTGGACTTCTTGGCACGGTGGCTGCACGCACCAGGAGCAGAGCAGACCCAGCAGCTCCCACGGAGACCCCAGGGGGCTGCTGCGATGGGCTGACGGGGCTGTGGGCGAGCTGCCAGT